GAATAGTCTTAGAAACCCACAGTTTACATTAGGGTTCACTCTAGTCATGTTTTCTATGGGTTTGAAGAAATGTACAGTGGCATGTATCCATTATTCTAGTAGCACATGGTGTCTGCTCACTGCCCTAAAAATCCTCTATGCTTTGCATATTCATCCCTATCTCCCACATCCCAATCCCATGCAAATACTGATCTTTTTTTTTTTTTTTTAATTCTTTTTTTTTTTTGAGAGAGATTTTCACTGTAGGGCGCGTGCGCTCGCCAGACAGACAGAGACATAGAGACAGAAAGCGAGAAATCACCCCCCAGGGGGGATGGTCACGCCGCAATCCCTTCTCCTCCATTCTCCTCTCGGGATCTTGGGCACGCACGCACACGTGCCTGGCGTGAGTTTTAAGCCACCGGGTCCAGGACGCGAACCGCGGTCGACTACGTGGGAGTCCAGCGACATAGCCATTACGCTAACTGCTGGTTCCCCAAATACTGATCTTTTTAACATCTCTGTATTTTTGTCTTTTTTGAAATGTCATATAGCTGGAATTATATAATAAGCAGACAGATAGGATGGGATTTTTTCTCTTAGTATGCATTTAAGTTTCTTTCCTGTGTTTTCATGGCTTAATAGCACATTTCTTTTTAGCACTGAGTAGTATTTGATTGTATGTACCAGCTTGTCAGTTTTCCTGTTGAAAGACTTGGTAACTCCCAAATATGGCAATTATGAATAAATCTGGAAACATTTGTATGCAGGTGTTTGTGTAGATGCAAGTTTTCTAACTCCCAAGAGTAAATACTAAGGAGCATTACTACCTGGATCTTACAATAAGAGTATTCTTGGTTTTGTAGGAGACCTACAAACTGTCTTTCAAAAAGACTGTACTGTTTTACGTTCTCACCAGCAGTGAAGGAGAGTTCCTGTTGCTCCTCGTTCTCACTAGCATTTGGTGTTGTCGGGGTTCTGAATTTCAGCCATCGTAATAAGTATGGAGTGATATCTACTGTTATTTTAATTTGCATTTCCTCGATGTCATGTGATGTGGAACATCTTTTCATCTACTTATTTTCCACCTGTATATGTCCTCTAGTGAGAAATCTATTAAGATGGTTGTTCACTTTTTAAATTGGGTTGTTTGTTTTCTCATCATTAAGTTTTGAGAGTTCTTTGTATATTTTGGATAACAGTCTTTTATCAATATAGTGTGGCTTGTCTTCTCATTCTCTTTACATTGGTTTCTCAGAGCAGATAGTTTTTGTTTTAATGCTGCTCAGCTTATTGACAATGTCTTTCGTGGTGTTGTGTCTAAAAAGTCACTGTCATACCCAAGGTCATCTGAGTTTTCTGTTCTAATATTGCAGCAATTTTAAAGTTGTGTGACTTTACATTTAGTTCTGTGATCCATTTTGAATGAACTTTTGTGAAGGATATGTTTTGTCTAGAGTAATTTTTTGGCACCTGAATGTTTGGTTGTTCTAGTACCATTTGTTAAGGAGAGTATCTTTTCTCCATTGTGCTACCTCTGCTCCTCTGTCGAAGATCAGTTGACCGTATTTACGGGGGTCTATTTCTAGGCTCCCTGTTCTGTTCATTGGTCTGTCTGTTCTTTCACTAGTGCCACACTGTCTCCATTACTGTAGCTTTAGAGGAAGTCTTGAAATGAGGTAGTGGCCCTTTTCCTGCCTTATTCTCCATTGAGGTAGCTGTTCTGGATTATCCAGCTCTGTCTTCCATTTCTACCACCATGCCCAGGAACCCTCCCTTCAGGGATACTGTCATCCTGCGTGGTCTCTTTTTCCAAGGAGATTTAATGAAGGCCCTGAGTAAGTTCTGCTCACCTGTGTGTGCACCTGGTCACAGAGGCACATTTGTCCCCATAATCAGGTTTAAGGGCCCATGCCTTTAACCATGTCAGCCTACTCCAGCCTCTGTCCCAGCCCCTCTTCCTGGGGGCAACGTGAGCCCTGTGGATGACTTTAAGGTGGAGGTTCCAGGTCACTGCAATTGGGAGTTGCCCTAAGTTAGGGTAGATTTGGGCAGGGAGGAGCTTTCCCCAGAGGAGGTGCAGTCACCAAAACAGAGCAGTGTCCTGTCCTGTCGCTTGTTATGTTGGCCAGGCGGGGATCATCCGGCCTCTATTCGGGGAAAATACCCACCGCGGCAAGCCCTGCTCAGCAGTGGCTGTTTCCCCATCCCGGCCAGCCCACAGTGCGAGATGGGCTGCTCCCCCTGAGACCCTGGTAACTCTGAAACACTCAGGATTCCATTTTCCTGGTGTGTAACGTGGGGAATTGCAGCTGGGAGAGGAGCCAGTGCATTTCCGTCTCTTCTTCTGCTAACGCTTGAGTGCTGTTTCTGAGAGACCTTCTTGCCTTGGCCCTCGTGCCTTGACTTGGTTAGAGGAAACTGGCTGACAGCCTGTACAGTTCTTCTCAGTGGCCTTGTGTGGCCAGGTCAGGGTGTCCTGCACTCCAGGATGTGTGTACTGTGGTACAGCATGTTGTCTGCAGGACCTCTTCCTGGACTAGACATTAGAGGTGGGTGAGGTGTGGAAGGGAGGAGCTGGATGAGCTGTGAGGAGCTGAAAAGAGGCTGATGGATGAACCGGCTAAACCTCCTGGATGGCCTGAGGCAGGACTGGACAGGGCACTGGCCACTGATTCACTGATACAGGTCCTGAAGGCCTGGCCTTGGTGCTAAAGAGTACAAGCCTGGTGTGGGGTCCTAGTCCTGTGAGGGAGCTGAAGAGAGAGGGATGAAGGCCTGGCCCAGAGGAGAGACTTGACTGAGAGAGTGAGTGAATAAATGGAAACAAAGGAGTATCTGGCACACTTCCTGATCTGAATACTGCCATGAGCTGTTATCTGTTCCACTGAGAGCCAGGAGTGGGCTCACCATACAGCAGGAGGGGGCAGGCTTGATTAGGAGAGAGCCTGGGCACTGGTCAGGTGGCAGCACACCAGGGAGTCCTGACCTGCTGAAGGGAGGACATTGCTCTTTGTTCAAAAACAAGAAAGAGGTACTTTTTGTGGTACTTTTCCTTGTTGATTCTGTCTTACCCCCTAGTTTCCCAGGGGTGTACCTGATGGGTGAGGCAGGGCTCAGGAGGAGGCCTTGCTGAGGTAGCTGTGCCCACTGGTCAAGGCTCTGCAGGAGATGGAGGCTGAGGAAGACTGACTGTGTCTTGGGGCCATTCAAAGCAGGCCTCTCTTGGTGACTGGGACATGAAGCTTGGTAGATAGGCTGTTTGGCCCTCCATGTTATTTTAGACTCCAGGAAGTAGGTGAGGTCATGTGCCTACTTCTGTCCAAAAAAATAGAAGCAGAGGCCAGGTCACTTCTGGACTGAGGTGGTGAAAACCCCATGAATGACGTTTTCCTTCTTTGGGGGTTGAGGAGGTTATAAGGACATGGGGTTCTGCATGGTGCCACTGCGAGGTGGTGGAGCTCCACCCATGTGTGACAGGAGCCCTCCCTCGCCATCTCTCATGGACATGTGGTGAGTGAGGTGTACTCCCGTTGTTCTCAGTCCCTGAATTTGCAAGTGTGTCAGCACAGCACAAGCTGAGCCTAGCCTAATGCACTTTCTAGAAGGAAAGCAAGCTGCATCCATTATTGTGTTAATTACCGGTCATGTGACCTGTTACCCAGGACTTAGAGCTGTGAGCTAACATGGTGCCTTGTCTCAGGGGTCCTGGGGTAGGATCCAGGTGTGGTTTAGTCGAGGCCTCTGACTCAGGGTCCCTCCAGCCAAAATCAAAGCGGACTGGGGTAGTGGTCGGGTCCTGGCTTAATTGGAAAGGACTTGCTCCCAACTCCCTGGGTGGGTGCTGACAGCTGCAGTTTCTCTGGCTGTTCACTGAGGGCCTCAGTTCCTCACTGACTGTGGGCCACCCTCAGTTCCCTGCTATATAGGCCTCCAGGAGTAGCTCACATGCAACTGGATTTATCAGAGTGAGCAAGAGACAGCAAAAGAGAGATTACTTGAGTAAGCGAGCAAGCTGGAAATCAGAGTCTAATGTGACTGTGTTACGTGACATCACTTTTTTAAATTTTTATTTTACTTGTTAGAAGCTTATTACTGGGTGCGCCTCACACTCCATGAAAGGGTGTGAACATGAGGATGGAGGGGTGTTTGGGATCTACTTTAGAAACTGACTCCTACAGTGATACATGTAAACATCACAGAAAGTATGCTAGTTGCTTTTAATCTATAATCTCATTTTCCTCCTTTTTTTTTAAAAAAAAATAATTTTTAAATTTTTTTATTGTTGCATCACCATTTCGCTCACTTCTAATTTTTTTCTAAAAAATTTGCCACATGGCACATACACTTGCCAGAGAGAAAGAGAGACAAGAGAGAGAGGGAGAGAGAGAGAGAAAGACACAGTGATAAATCACCCCCCTGGAGGGATGATCACACCACAATCCCTGCTCCTCTAGGTTCCTCTGGGGATTTTAGGCATGAGTGCATACACGCCTGGCAAACCACCAGGTCCAGGACTCAATCTGCACAATTGGCCATGTGGGATTCAGCTGCTTTAGCTACAATCCCACTTGACCAGAATTTCTTCTGAGAGAGAAAGTAAAAGGTGGACCCTAACAGGGTCCTAACAGGGTTACATTGTTGCCTACCCTGTCTGAGCTGGGTTGAGTCACAGGTATGTGCATGTGTCTAGCATGGTATGGGAGACCCTGGGGAGAACCCAGCACCTTCCCCATGTGGGTCTAGTTGTGTTATGGTTGCGCCACCATCTGGCCCAATCCACAATCTCATTTATCCACACAGGCTAGTACAGAAACTGTAGACTGTTTGAGTAATCTGTTCAAGATTGCTCTCCACTGGAACCTGGACCTAATCCCAAACTTGCCTCAAATTCACTGTATTAGGCAGCTTCCCCAGAATCGAGAGAATACATTACATGGCTCTGATTTAAAAATAAAAGTCCTATGCTCCTCTCATCGTCATGGAGAAAACACCTATGTCTCCTGTTCCCAATATTCTAGGTGCTCGCAGCGCTGAGGCCAGGAGCTCTGGAATGAACGATTCTAGAGCCCAGTCTTCTCAGAAGAGGATCCGAGGAGGTTCCGCCTTGTTCCATGTGGAGAAGAATCCAGGAGAAGATCTAGGAGCAGAGCTGGAGGAGATCACATGGTCCTTTGGCCCTCCATCAGGCTACAGGGAAATGCTGCGAGTCCATCGGGGGGCAGACGCTCCAACCTGGCTTGGCCTCCGGGACAAGTACGGGCAGAGGGTCCAGGTGCCCAGCGTGACATCCCTGAGGATCGAGAACCTGATCTCTGAGGACAGTGGGCGGTACTGGGCTCAGGTCACCCTAAGTGGAGGAAGAAAATGTGACCAGGATTTCTTCCTCACTGTCTGTGGTAAGTGACACGCTCTCTCCCCAGTTTTAGGGCTCGTTGTCCTTGGTCCCTAGAAGTGTCACATAGGTCCCATTTTCAGGCTTCCATTCAGACACCAGCCTTCATTCTCCATTTTCTTCCCTGTAAACAGGGCCATTATATACAGAGAGAGGAGCTGAGATTTGCACTGGGGAGAAAAGCCACTTCAGTGTTTGTGGGGAGTAAAGGGAAATTGGCAGAAGTGAACATTTTTGTAGTCACATGAATTGTTCCTTGTGGCACTAAAGGGATGTAATTTGTGCCTTCGTTTCTATTGGTACTATAACAAATTACCACAACGTAGCTTCAAACAACACAAATATATTACTAAATTGTGCCCCAGTCAGGCGTCAGATGCAGATTTCCCTGGGCTGAGCTCAGGTGTTGGCAGGGCTGTGTTCCTTCCTGGGGTTCCAGGGAAGAGAGCATCTCCTTGCCTTTCCTGCCTTTAGGGCTGCCTGCCTTCTCATAGCCTCTCCCTCCATCTGTGAAGCCACAGACACGGAGTTGAGTCCTCACACTGCATCTTTCCAACTGTTCTTTTCTGTCTTTGTACTTGTCTTATTGATGTTGTTTAGAGAGGTTTTTGGTATAGGGCACTTGTGCTTGCCAGAGAGACAGAGACAGAAAGGATAAATAACCTCCTGGGGGATGTCCTCACCACAATCCCTTCTCCTCCATTCCACTTGCCTGGCGTGAGTTTCAAGCCTCTGGGTACAGGACTCAAACCATGGTCAGCCACGAGAACCAGCAGTTAGTGAAATGGCTATGTTGCTGGACTCCCACGTAATCGACCTCAGTTTGCGTCCCGGACCCGGTGGCTTAGAACTCACTCCGGGCGCGTGTGCGTGCGTGCCCAAGATCCCGAGAGGAGAATGGAGGAGAAGGGATTGCGGCATGACCATCCCCCCTGGGGGGTGATTTCTCGCTTTCTGTCTCTGTGTCTCTCTCTGTCTGTCTGGCGAGCACACGTGCCCTATAGTGAAAAACCTCTCCAAAAAACTCCCCCAAAAACAAAAAACAAAACAAAACCATGGTCAGCCACATGAGAGTCCAGGGACGAAACCATTATGCCATTTGCTGGTTCCTTCTGTCTTTTTACTTTTAAGAGCTCTTGTGATTACACTGTGTCCATCTAGAGGATCCAGAATAAACTAAACAAAATTTTTTTTTAGATTTTTGCCACAGGGTTCATGTATGTGCTCAGCAGTAAGACAGAGAGAAGGAAAGTGAGAAATTACTCCCTCTACGGGGATTGCCACACTGTGATCCCTTCTTCTCCATTCTTCTCTTGGGGTTTGGGTATGCATACACATGTGCCCATGTTTTTCAAGTTGCCAGGTCTGGAACATGAACCATGCAGTTGGCCATGTAGAATTGAGCACCTACACCACCACCCCATCTACTGGCACCAATCCAGAATAATTTTAAGATCAGGTATTTAGCAAACTTAATTCTATCAGCTACCTTAATTTCTCATTGCCATGTAACCTAACACATTTACACATTTGCAATTGTCTTTTTTTTTTTTTGCTATAGGGCACGTGCACTTGCCAGACAGACAGAGAGAGACAGAGAGACAGAAAGCGAGAAATCACCCCCCAGGAGGGATGGCCACACCACAATCCCTTCTCCTCCATTCTCCTCTCAGGATTTTGGGCATGCACGCACACGTGCCCGGCGTGAGTTTTAAGCCACCGGGTCCAGGACGCGAACCGCGGTCGACTACGTGGGAGTACAGCAACATAGCCATTACGCTAACTGCTGGTCCCCATCTTTTTTGCAATTGTTGATGATTAAGACATGAACAGCTTTGGTGGGGAATGGGGAATTGTTAACCAATTTCCCATAATCTGGGAAACCATGTATGTCTAGTCCACTCTGCCGCTTGTCTTCTCACTCATCTCCATCCATTATCAGCCTCCCTCACCCAAGTCTCTTCAAATCCAACTCTCAGAGCCTTCACAGCTGTATGGGAATTTGCTTCTTAGAAAACACATTAGCCAACTCTCTCTCTCTTTCTTTGTTTTTGCTATTGGCTGTGTGTACTTGCTGAAGACACAGAGAGTAAGCATGAAAGTGAAAGCACTCGCCAAGGGAGAAGAGAATTACCATGCCACAGTCCCTTCTCTTCTGTTCTCCACTCAGAATTTTGGCCATACACATATGCCTGGCATGTTTTCCTTTCTCTCTCTCTCTCTTTTTTAAATTTTTTTTTTTTGATTTTTCAGGTTTTTGCCATAGGGCACATGAGCTCTCTGGAGATAAAGAGACAGTGAGAAGGGAAGTGAGAAATCACCTCCCAGGATGGATGGCCATGCTGTAAACCCTCCTCCTTCATTCTCCTGCTGGAATTTTGAGAACACATACACACTCACCTGGCATGAGTCCAGATCCTGGACTCAGACCACTGTTGGCCATGAGAGTCCAGTGGCTTAACGAGTATACCACCTGCTGGCGTCTACCCAGCATGTTTTTCAAGCCACTAGGTGTGGAACTCTAATCATGCAGACAGTCATGTGAGATCCAGCTGCCTTAACCACCACACCATCTGCTGCCTCCAATGCTTTCATACCGTAAAGTCCCTGTCTGCATAGGGAAATATCCTGCTACAGAGAGGGTGTTACAACATGAAGTCTCCCATGTGATGTCCAAGACTGGCTTGTAAATGATGTGTGCTTACTGGAGACAGTGAGAGAGCATAAAATTGAAAAAGTGCCCCCCAAGAGCAATGGTCATGCCACAATCATTTCTCCTCCATTCTCCTCTCAGGGTTTTGGGTATGCACATATGCCTCACATGTTTTCATTTTTCTTTTCTATTATTTTTTAGGTTTCTGCCATAGGACAGGTGAGTTCACTGGAGAGACAGAGAGAGACAGTGAGAAGGGAAGTGAGAAATCACCTCCCAGGATGGATGGCCATGCTGTAAACCCTCCTCCTTCATTCTCCTGCTGGAATTTTGAGAACACATACACACTCACCTGGCATGAGTCCAGATCCAGGACTCAAACCATATTTGGCCATGTGGCAGTCCAGTGCCTAAACCTTTATACCATCTGCTGGCCCCCACCTGGAATGGTTTTCGAGTTACTGGGCCTGGGCTCTAATGGTTCACTCAGCCATGTGGGATCCTGCTGCCTTAACCACCATACCATCTACTGCCTCCAATGCTCTCATACCGTAAAGTCCCTGTCTGCATAGGGAAATATCCTGCTATAGAGAGGGTGTTACAGCGTGAAGTCCCCCATGTGATGTCCAAGACTGGCTTGTAAATGTGCCTCCCTCCTCTCCCTGTCTGCTCCACAAGTTCAGGGGCAAGTTCAAACACACTCGGAGCTGTCGGTCCCAGTCACTCCCACCACCTCTCCCACAGGTATCTCTACTTCTGGGGGCCTGGGGCCTTTCTCTGGCCTCCCAGAGCTGGCTTGCTGTCCTCCCCACCATGGCTGGGCAGTTCCAGGTGTCCTCTCAGCTAGGGACACAGGGCGAGGACCCCCTACCAGGACAAGCCCTTCTGTCCCAGACTTCTTTCCCTCCCAGGATCAACCCCAATTTCTTAGAAATAATCAGTCCTGGAAGGTGGAGTCTGCCTTGTTTCGTTGTGAGAGATTTTAGACTTGTTTAACCTGGTGAAATTCTGGAGAGCTGAACTCAGTGGCTCTCTCCTTAGTGTCACTTGCTATAGGTTTAGCTTTGGGGAAACTGTCTCATGTGTAAGACCCTTGACCTTCCTTGTAGAGAGCGTGCCAGGGCCTTGGCGAGATAACAGATGAGGAAGTGCAATGTGTCATGTACTCCACACGTGAGGCTCCAGTCTTTTGTCTCTTTTCCCCCAGAACCTGTGCCCTCCCCCAAGATCCTGATCCAGTCAACATCCGTCTCGTCAGACTGGTGCAATGTCACCCTGCTATGCTCAACCTCAGGAACTACAGAGAGCCTCATGGTGACCTGGGAGAGCAAGGACATCCCCAGAGAACTAGAGCAGAGAGGGATGCCAGGACCAGTCCCCAACCCCTGGACCCTGGCTCTGAGGCTTCCCTTGAGCCAGCGCAATGCCAGCCTCACATGCATGGTCAGCAATGATGTGGACCAGAAAAGTGACACCTCAGACCTTGGGACCATCTGTGACAAACGTGAGTGCAACCTGCAGGAGAGGAGGGGGATGTAGAGCTCGGGCAGCAGTGGATTCTGAGGGCTCTGGGCTCTTGCCCTGGCCGTGTTTTCTAGTACCACATTTCCCTTGCTCACACCACACAGAAGTCTAGGGGTCACGTTGAACCTGTTTCTGCGTTTGAATAGCTTTTATATCCATATCTGTCCCTCCATACCCTTTCCCCAGCTACCAGACAGGAGAACATTGTGTTCCTCCTTCCTGGGATGCTACCCCCACCACCCCCAAGAACTTCTGGAAAATATCTACTCTTTCGTCCAGATTCAATTTGCCAATCAAGTCCTCGGGGAAGCCCTTCTGGAAGACCTGTGTACAAATTGTAAGACAATGTTCTAGCTACAACCTTTCTGTTTGGCTGTGGACATATGGTTTTCTCTCCTGGATGATGAGTTCCTCAGGGGACAGATCCCATCCTGTTCACCTCAGAGTTCCTGGCACCCAGCAGGAACTTGATGTTATAGTTTCAGTATCTCCTCCAAGACTCAGTTGAAATGTAATTGCCATTGTGATGGCATTAAGAGGTGGGACTTTTAAGGAGTGATTTGTTCATGAGGGCTCCACTCTCATGAGTGTATTAATGGTGCAGTGGGTTGGCTATTGCAGGAGTGGGCTCCTGATGAAAAGACCAAGTCCAGTCCCCTTCCTCTCTGTCTCATGTGATCTCTGGCCCTTCTGCCTTCTACGAGGCCTCAGACCTTGGGAAACTCTATGCCAAACGTGAGTGCTGCCTCAAGTCCCTTGCCAAGTACTGGGCCATGCTCTTGGACTTCTCAGCCTCTAAAACTGCGAGCCAAATCAACATTTTCTTTATAAACGACCCAGTTGGTGGCATTCTGTTAACAGCAGCAGAAAATGGACTAGGACAGTCAGTAACCCATTGAATGCATGAACTTGCCATGCTCCTTCTTTATTGTTTCCCCCTTCTCCACTGCCTTTTCCTCTCTCTATCCCCCCTTGTCAATGTGCATCTCAAGTTTTCTCCTTCATTAATTATTCTTCACTCTGTGTGACAGAAAACAGTACACAAGAATCGGCCGTGAATGGACCCCTGAGAGGCATCATAGGATTTTCTGTGGTTGTGCTGTTGATCCTGGGGGCTGGACTGCTTTGGAAGACTTGTGAGAAGAAGAAGAAGACAGAGATCAGAAGAGGCAGGTTGTACTTTTTCTTTCAGGCCCAGCTACATCTTTTCCCCCCATGGTTCCCTTTCTCCTACATTTTTCTGTCCATAGAACAAAACTTTTAGAGGTAATGGTGGCTGTAGCCATGGCCTTGGGGTTGGTTCATGGCACTGGGGGAGGGATATAGGTTTTCAAGGCACAGATTCCAGCTTTGTTTATGTGTTTCTCAGGTGCAGAATTGCAGGAAGAACACAGGGATGATCACGATAACATCCAGTATGTAGATCTGATGCACCCGGAGCCTCGGGACGATAACAACAAAGTGAGAACTGGGAACAGTGGCTGGCCTAGGCATTCCCAGGTCCCTCACTTCCTAGTCCTGGCCTCAGTACCCAGGCATCTGTCCTTTCTCACCTCATGACCTCTTTATTCTTTTCTGGTGAATCAATAGTAGTTACAAAAAAAAAAAATTACAATTGGGGCCAGTATTGTGTTAGCTGCATTGGGAAAATTCCTGGGCAGGAGATATCAGCAGGCACTGCTTCTGTGTGAGTCCCACGGGCTCCACTCTGTTCCCCAGCTGCTCCAAAAGCCCTCTGTCTTACATTCACAGGCTGTCAGTGGACAAAATCTGGAGGAAGAGGGGCCTCTCACTACTGTCTACAGTGAGATCCATAAACCAGGTCAGGCCATGAAGATCATTTAATTGGAGGAAGCAGGAGGAATCCAGCACTCCTAGACACCTTCACTTGAGTTTGATACCTGCAGACATCTGCCTGGCCCAACTTCAGTCCTGCTCCAGCTCCTGATCTGCATTATCCTGAACTTGTGGCCCATTTCCTGAGAACCAGTGGTTCTATCATTTCCTTTGCCCCCTGTAGCAACTTCCCAGACTTGGAGACTATGTAGATTTGCTGACCATACCCTTGAGGGGAGTTAGGACCTGGGGTTTGGATGATGAGTTGGGAATTATGGCTACAACATGAGTAGGTGGGAGCCTGCAATGGGGCTCATCCAAGACTTCTTTTGTAGACCTTGCATAGGGCTTCTCTTGAGGGATAAAGCTGTGTGTGTGTGTGTGTGTGTGTGTGTGTGTGTGTGCATGTGCGCATGTGCATGCGTTTGTGTGTGGGGTGGATCTAGTCCACATTATATCCTTTGACCAGAAAAGACCACATTATACATTCCATAGTCTGAGGTTCCAAGACCACCTTCCTGTGGAGTAAGAAGTATTTGCATTATCCCAAACCCTTTCAGCTTTCTGTTTACCAGAGAGTGACCTCAGCAGTCTAAGGTCAGGGGTTGTATTCTTGGGAAAGCAGTTTCAGGTCTTTTCCTGTTCTGGGAGAAGATACTTGTGGTGAGAGTGAATGAGCAGTACAACTCATTCATCCTGATGGGGTTATTGTAGGCCCTGGTCGGTGAAGCTTATGCCAAAATCTGATTCAACCATCTCTTGCCTCTTCTGCTGACCCTCAGCCTTGCTGGTCCCAAACCCCAGGATATCTTCCTTTCTGCTCACTTGTATCCCCGTTTGGAATTGATGGTTATCTGTTCCTGTTCCTCCCTCTCAGCCCTGCATGTTGGAATCCTCCTATCCTTCCCAAAACCCTCTCTCATGGCCCTGTTCCCTGGATCCTGCCTGGATCTCAGAGATTTAAAAAGGCCTCTCCCATATCTGACCTTCGCAAACACCTTCACCATCACTTAAAGCCTCTGCCACAGCCCCTGTTTTAGAGTCATGAGTCTTCCCGCTGGTTGACTTCTGGCTCCTTCAGGATTGTGGTGGGGCTGTGTGAAGCCAGTGAAAGGGAGATAAGATCTCTCGTTGTGAAGAAGCTGAGCCACCTTCTTTCACTCAGAAGTCTGGAAGCAAGGGTGAGCATGACGACTTCCCATGACCCGGCTCAGAGGTCCAAATTAGAGATTTATTTACCTCACTTCCAGTTGCCTGAAGACCTTGTGAAGTCTGTAATGTGTTGTATGGAGGCTTCTCTCTCTCGTGGTGTCACCACCTCCTTTCAGCCTCTGACTCCTGCCTTGGACCCCAGCTCTTCCATCAGAGATGGGCTGAATCTAGTTTCATGAGCTTCTTTGACTTGTTTGGTAGCCTAGATTCCTAGGATTCTTGGCTCCTTCCAGGTCACCTCTGCTGAACTGTTGCCTCCTCTTTGACCTCAGATACCAAAGGTCTGAGCAAGGTCCATGCTAAACACTGTGGCATTTGAAGCCATGCTAGGAGTCTGCTGCATGGCAGCTAGATGAGGGAGGAGGTAGATGATTCATAATAGGAGGCTCCATCTCTTCCCTCTTTCCCCTTTGAGCAGGAAGCTGAAGGTGCGTGTGATGCCTTGGTCATGGCTGAACATCAGTAGTCCTCAGCCCCGAAGCAATGAAAATGTGACCATGCAAGTGGCCCTTACCACCCTACCCAAGGCAGAAAAAACAAAAGAAAACAAAACAAGCAAAACAGGCAAGGAAGGAATTGGGCTTTCAAATCTCTTTTGGACCAGGTATTGTCTTAGGTAGTTTATTATTTCTTCTAATTCTTACAAGAACCTTCAAGGGTACATGTTGATAATGGATATCTCAAACTAGTTGGTGGGGAGCAAAGCCTTAAATCCAGCATAGATATTTCAAAGTTCCTACCCTTCTAGTCACCGCTGAAGTCCTTGGAATCAGGAATTTTCATATGAGAATATCCTTCAGATTCTCTCCCAAAGATCCTGGTCTCCTGATTTATGTGCCTCACCAAGACTGAGCTCCCTGATGGAGATGGTAGTGTTTGAAAGAGGAATTTTCCTGCACATTGATAGTGGGAGTCTTGTTGTGTGTGGAAAACATGAATGAGGAATTTTATATTCTTGTTTAGAATAGATATGCATAGATATTCTTTTTTAAAAAAATCTTTGTCCAAGTTTCCTCTTTCCATGTAAGACATGTCTTGGATGTCACCCATGTCCTCAAATCCACTACCTCTCTGAAGTATTATTTATAACATTATTTTGTAGGTTTTATATAAGACTCTCACTCCCACTTAGACTTTTAACAATTCCGTGGAACAAACCCCCTCATTGTGCAGATGGAAAGACTAAAATCTGACATGGTCCCTGAAGACTTTGGATCTGGAATTTTCAGATGGGAATATCCTTCAGTTCCTCTCCCAAGGTCCTGGTCTCCTGACTCAATGCCCCATTCAGACTGAGTTCACTAGTGACAGAGCAGCTGGTGGTTGAAAGAGAAGCTTCCCCTTTCAGGACAATTGAGGCTTTGATAAAGGTGGAAAACATGGAATGAAGGACTTCGCACTCTCGTTAGACGAGGTGTTTATAGATATTCTTCTTAGTTTATCTTTGTTTTAGTTATTTTATTTCTCCATACAAGACATGTCTGGGATGTCACCCACATCGTTAAATCTGTTATTTCTCTGCATTATTATTCATAACATCATTCAATAGTCTTTACATGATACTCTCACTTAGACTGTCAACAGTTCTGTGGGGCAAAAATTCCATCATGCAAATAGAAAGACCAAAATCCAAAGATGTGAATTACCTTATTCAAATTCCCTCAAGTATGTGTTGAAATTATGGTTTGACCACAGGGAGTTACATCTGTTTTGACTCCTTTTCCTTTCTCATCCCAGATACCTATAAATCATCATGTACCATTGAGTGATTATTTATAAAATTTCTTGTATGTCCTCCTCTCATTCTTTCATTTGTATCTTCTATCTTCTTTTTTTAAAATAATTTTTAATTTAATTTTTATTTATTATTTTTACATTTGACCACATAGAAAGAGACAGAGAGAGAAAACAAGCTGCCAGGTCCAGGACTCAAACTGTGAGTCATGAGGTAGTCCAGCATTCCAACCACCATGCCACCTGCCAGCCCCTCTGTCTTCCATCTTCAGCTGCGCCATTTTTATATTCACACCAGAAATATGTGAAGCTTTCTTCTTATCCTTGCCAACTCTCTCTTTGCTTGATATGCCAGAGTATACATTTATTGAGGAAAGAGAGGAAAGTGAGAAAGCATTCCCCATAGAGAACGGTCACGCTGCAATCCCTTCTGTATTTCTCCCTCCACTCCATGTTTTGTTCTGTATGCACATACATCCAGAAAGTGTTTTTTTTTTTAATAAAAATGTATTTAATAAAGATTTTTACCTGTCATATATTTAATGGAAACAATGAAAAGGTTATATAAACAGTCATCAATAAAATACTGTCTTTCGGATCATGTAAATTTTCTTCAAGATCTGAACATGTTCTTGTGATGCTTTCAAAAGTAAATCTTGAGTTCAGTTTTACTCATCAGTAGATCTTTGAGGAGAAACTCCACAGGATACATATGTGAATTCAGTAGAAGTTTCTCTTAGTTCTCTAGTTATACTTCTGTTCAATTCTGAAACAAGAAGTTTTCTATGCTGTTACTTGAAGGATGTGAGATTGAGGTAAGAATCACAAGTTTCTTTCTTTCATTCTTTTTTATTTTTTTGAAATATTACACCTTGTTGAATTCTAGAGTGGCTAATCTATCCTCCCCGGCTGACAATAAGGATGGAAAAAAGCATGAAAGTTTAAAATAAGAGCATACATCACTGTTAAAAATGTTGGAACAACTTTTGCTGTACTGGTGAGGCAGTTGTAATTTCCTAAAGCATAAAGTAATGATTTATTCTTGTTCAAATAAGAAGTCATTTCGCTTTGGATTCTGAAGTGAATTTATACACACTGATTGTGCCCTCTGCCTTACAGAGCCCTCTTCTTAGCCTCTCATGCTAAAATATAGCAGTTAGAGGACAGAGAAATCTGGAATTGGGTAGTGTGGGCTGCAACTGTAAAGCCCACACTGATGGGTTTTACTCATCTCTCTTTTTCTGGGTATTGCTTGTGTCCTCTTTCAGCTAAATTATTTTGATAGATTTATCACAGATGAGCAAAAGATTGTTTTCTCTGATAATGAAATAACCAGTTGTGCTATCAACCAAAAATGTAAAAAGGAGGACTTTCATCTCAAAAGAGAATCCGGTCCAGATCAGCCTGGAAGCAAGCAGAGAATACTTCAAAGCCAGTGACGGAATAGCAACTTTGCAGAATCACTGAGGATACCTGAACAGTTATAAAAAGATGGTTGACCTTAACAGGATCACAAGTTTCTCTTGAAATAAGAATTCTGTTGTGCACTAAACTATTATTAAGATTCCAACATTAGGGACTCTAGGACTGGTCTAGTGGTCCAGTAGTAAGACTGCTGAGTAAAGATCTATTCTGTGTCTCCATAAAAAATTTGGCACTGACTGCTGCTAACAGCTCGGTAGTCTTGTTCAGTTTATAGAATTATGATTTTCTAACTTGTGATTCTTCTAGATAGAGTTGCTTTTCTTTTCCCAGTTTTATTAGAATCTTCTTGAAAAGCTCTTTTCTTTCTCTCTCTTTTTTTCCCTAGGTTTTTGCCTTAGTGTGTGTGTGCTCTCATTGGAGAGAGAGAAAATGCAGTGAGGGGGAAAGTGAGAAATCACTCCCCCCGCCCCAGTGGATGGCCACACTGCAATCCCTTTTCCTCCATTCTCCTTTGGGATCTTGGGCAAACACACACAAGTGCCTGACATGATTTTGAAGCCACTAGGTCTGGGACTTGAACTGCTGTCAGCCATGTGGTAGTCCAGCTATGTAACCACTATGCCATCAGCTGGCCCTTTCTTGAGAAGCTCTTATTTTGAAGAGTTTGGATTCCAGATCATTCATTCTGAGTTCCATCTGACTTCTTATTGAAGTATCATTATTCTCTCTTAAACTGCTCTAAGCTTTCTTGAAATGCTGCTTGTGTCTGTAAAAATAGATCGACTTCTTTTAATTTTTCTACTATGTGCTGTCTTACTCTTTCTTCAGTCTTCCACATATACTCTTCTACTTGAACATAGTCTACCGTATTTATTTCCATTTAACTTTTGAGTTTACTACTTCTTGTTCCAAGTTCAGTTTATTCTTTCTAGTTTTACACATTTTTTCTCTGTTTTCATAGATGACAACTCCTGCTGTTTGATTCTTTGCATGGAAATGTACCTATTTTGAAGATGCATTTTCCACTTTTGCTATAAGATCATCAGTCTTTTATTTTAGCATAGTAAGTTGAATATCTGTTTCAAGTTGACTGGCCTTAAATCTCATTGGGAACTAATTTGTCCATTTTTGTATTCATTTAACTTCTTTCCTGTCATTTGTAAGAGTTTCTTAAATCCAGTTATCCCTGTTTCTAATTTATCCCTTGACCTTTCAACAAGTTGCCTTCATAGTTAAAGCAGCTAAACAAAAACCACAAGAAGACTCCAAGAGAATTTAATATGTAATTATTGCCTACTCTATTTACTTAATTTTAGATGGACAGATACAATTGTATGTATTATCATGTGCAGCATGATGCTTTGAAGTGTATATACACGGCGAGGTGATTAAGTCTAGGCAATCAACATATGCATTACCTCTTAAAGTTATGGTTTTATGATATGATTAACATCTACTCTTAGAGCATTCTTTTATCTTAAAAAAAAATGTGGGAACATGTGGTTGCCAGAGAGAAACAGACACAGAGAGAGAGACAGAGAGGGAACCTGAGAAATTACTCTCCAGGGTTGATGGCCATGCTGCAATCCTTTCTCCTCCATTCTTCTTTCAGGATTTTGGGCACACATGCACATAAGCTCAGCGTGTTTTTCAAGCTGCCAGGTCCAGCACTTGAACTAATCAGTTGGCCATGTGGGATCAGGCCACTCTTACCACCATGCCACTTCCTGGTCCAACGTTTTTCAAGAATACAATATATTATTATCAACTATAGTCATCATGTCCAAGAGAGCTATTGAAATGATTTTTATTTTATTTTTATTTAAAATTTTTAGAGAGATTTTTGCTATAGGGTGCATGCACTTGCTGGAGACAAAGACCAAGAAAATGAGAAATAACCCTTGGTGGGATGCTCATGCAGTAATTTCTTCTCTATTCTCCTCCTGGGATTTGGGGCACACATGCACACATGCCCAATGTACGTTTCAAGCAAGCAGGTCTGGGACTCAAACTCTAGTTGACCAGGTGGGAGTCTAGCACCATAACTGCCATGCAACCTGCTGGTCCCTGTTGAAATTATTTTTATTTAACTGAAATTTCCTATCCTTTGATCAACATCTGTCTAGCCCCCTCTCTCAAACTGTCTCTCACCCAAAACATCTTTATGAAATGGACAATTTCTGGGAAAACACATTGTCAGGTCATACCTATGATCAGCAGCGGAGTCAGGCAGCAAAGGTGGAAGAACTAGAGTCAGACTTGGGATTTAGCAAAAGTCAGTAAAATTTATTCTGTGTAAAAGCTCTTGGGTGAGGTTCCACGGTCTGAACAGAGGCCGGGAGAGTCACATACAAAAGATTGCTGTTCATCCTCTCGTAGGAGCCCGCAAAGACCGTTTGCCGCACATTACGGCATCCTGTCCTGGCCAATGGGAGACGATGTTTCTGTTCACGTGGTGGCGGGTGCGCCAAATGTGGAGGGTGGGAAAGTCGGTTGCTGATGGCGCACCAGATGCAGAAAGCTGGAAAGTTCCTGCTGGTTGGAAAGTTTCCGCCATGTTTCTTTTCCCTTCTCCCAGACCCTACATTCAGACCTTAAAGGGGTAAGAAATAACAACCATTCTGGCTGCTTCAGGCTGTTAAGGGACATCGATCTGGGGCCCTCTATTGGGAGGGTCTTGGGGAAGGGGTGCGTAGGGGTGCAGGAGCATCTGATTAATTGCCACTCGAGTTATGGTGGATACGCATTCCCTGAGAAAGCGTAAGACACAGGGTGCAAAAGCCAAGATTAGAAAAATAGCTGTTAGGGGTCCCAGAAGAGGCAGTAACCATGGCGCTAATGTCCACAGTCCATGCCAACCTGTCCAAGAGTCAGCTGCTGCTTGTCTCTGCTTAGAAGCTAAATCTTTAAGCTGTTTGGCCATGTCTCAGACCACTTCTGAATCATTGGCATAGAAGCAGCATTCTTCACCCAGAAATAGACAGAGTCCACCTTTTTTGGTGGTCAGGAGGTCTAGTCCTCTACAGTTCTGTAGGACAACATCAGCTAGGGAGTCTAGCTGAACTTGTAGGGTTTTGACAGTTTTTGCTATTTTTTAGCCCTATGAACTCTGGTGTGAGCTACCAAGGGAACATCAACTGTCTCATTCCCCTCTAGGAAGTCTATTTGGAAGGTGAGAATTGCCCAGGTACAGGTTCTGGACCAGTGTTCCAGGAAATACTGGTAAGCATAGGGTCCGCACATGAAATGGAACCCCAGGTATTGAGAGCAAAGTGCAGTCCTATTTCAGGAAACGTGTGGGTGCAGGACATATTACCTACCTCAATGGAGCCTTGACTTAAAAGCAGCCTTGAGGCTTGGAGGAGAGAGGTACTTGGGAGACTGGTCCATCCCATACAGAGGTCAGATTAACTATTGGGGTATCATTGGTAAGGTAGACTGGAGTGGCATATATGTGGGGAAGGGCTGTTGGGATGCAAAGCCAGCAGCTGGACGCCAGATGGGGCTTCATCCGAGACAGGAGAGCATGAATTGTGTTAATAAGTATAATAACTCTCAGGTCGAGTTGAGGGTCTCCTCGGGGTGTAGGGAGTCTCAACTGGATTAGAGGGGCCTGGGGTTTGAGTTTTTGTTTTGTGTCTTGGATGGCAGCTCAAGTTTCTGTAGGACATTTACCTCCTCCATCTGGGAGCCCATACTGTCTAAGGCTTTCATAACATACCCATTTTCATAACATATCCTGGGGGAGGGGGGTGTGTGTAACAATCATGGTTCTCTCTGCATTTTCCTATGAAGTAAGGTATATTTTGGTTCTGGCATTGTTGGATTGTTGTGAGATCAAGGCAGGCCTTGTTGCCTTTCCCCTGATGTACGAACGCCAGTTGGGTTGGGAGCCCTAGGATGATAATTAGAGTATTAATTCCTTTTACATGGCCAAGCATTGGCAGGTAGGATCCCAGCTGTAGGTGGACAGTGGTCTGTTGGACAGTCCAGTTGCACCATGTGAGGCAATGGGGAGAGGAGTTACCATTTACTTCTGGTAAAAGCCCAAGACCCTGGGGTAAGAGGATTAACAGGGTGACTAACCGCACGGGGAGAAGGCAGCCCTGGTTAGCCAGCCCAGACATTTTAGACTTACCATGATTCCCACAAGTAAGAGGTATAACACTGCTAGCAAAAGCCTTTTCCAGAACACCCATTCCTGTGGGGCCACTGCAGTCAGTCCAACCGAGAGAACTAGGGCTAGTGTTATGGAGGGGGCCTGGACAGGTAATTATAGGCGTAGGGTAGAGATGACATAGGCTTCTGCCATGAGGGAGAGAAGGGGGTTTTTCTAAGAGTTGGAAAGTCTGTTTAATTGGAGTCTAGTGGGGCCAAGTTGGGTAGATTTCCAGCTGGAGTGAGAGGTTGCCCTCTTCAGTCTAGAAAGGTGGTACCAGCAGGGCTTACCCAATACTTTAGCAGCTGTTGGGATGGTGAGTATGACCATGTGGGGCCTGACCTTTTAGGCTGTAGAGATCTTGGGGAGAGGTCTTTTATGAGAACTGAGTCCCCTGGATGTAGTATCGAGGGAGACTCAGTAGAAGGAATCTGGGGTAAGGTTCAGTTAGCTTGTTCTTGCAGGAGAGCCCGGAGGAGGGCCAAATAGGGGAACTAGTCAGCCAAGAGTGGCGTCTGTGTAGGCAGATGATGGTTAATCAGAAAGGGTCTGCCGTAAAGCAGCTCAGAGAGGCTGAGACCAGTGGGTTTTTGGGGGATTGCCTGTAGATGAGTGAGTGCAATGGGGAGCAGGTCAGGCCACCGCTGATGGAGTTTTAGTAAGTTTGGTAAAGGGGGTTGTAGGGAGAAGTCATGGGGATGAGAAGGCCACACTGTAGAAATTGAGTGATGATGAGTTTAAGCCCCAGTGGGTTAGTTCTAGAGCTAGGGAACTGTGGGTGAGAGGGAAGACCGAAGAGTCTTTGAGTTTGATGAGTATTGGAGTACGGTGAGAAGCAACAGAAGGGGAGGAAATGTCCCATACTATGGGGTTGACCTGGTCTGGAGAGATAGGTGGGGGAGGGGAATTAGGCCTGGCAGAGGAGGCCAAGAAAGGGGGAGGAGTTAAACTGAAAGGTGATATGCAACTTTGCAAGAATGTCACAACCTAGGAGGGGTGTGGGACATGTGGGAATGACAAGAAAAGAGTGGGAAAAGTACATTTTCCTGGGGCGGCAGGCTAAGGGTTTGGTAGAGAGAGGATATGAGGGCCAGCCATCAATACCCACAATAGAGACCTGGAAGGGTAACAAGGGGCCAGGGCATGTTGGGAGGACAGAGTAGGTAGCCCCCATGTCCACGAGGAAGTGAACGGCTTACCCGCTACCTGAAGCTGGACCCTGGGCCCGGCGAGGGTAATTGGGGTGGTCGAGTCCGGGGTCCGTCAATCCTCAGCCAGTCCCATCACGGCCAGGTGAAGTCGGGATGATAGATCTCCTCTCGGCGTGGAGGTGTTGGGAGTGGATCTTGTCTCCCTTTTTAGGGGCAATCAGAGCTCCAGTGACCCATTTTGCCACACCCTGGGCAGGGTTTAGTGAGTGGCCTGGGATCTGGGTACTCAGGGGCCCAGTGGCCTGGCTTGCCACATTTGAAGCAGTTTCCTAAGGGAAGACTGCATCTAGGGACCCCCCCTTCTGAGGTGCAGCCACAGGGCAGCCATCAGGGCTTGGGCTTGCATGGTAGCCATCTGTCTGGCCTGTTCGTGATGGGTTACCTCAGCGTCCTCCTCTTGGGAGTTGAAAACTTTAATCGGATGTTCACCAGGTCTCAAATGCGGGTCTGAGGGCCCTGCTCAGCCTTTTTGAGTTTTTTTTTTTTTTTTTTTTTTTTAATATCAGGGGCCAACTGGGTGATAAAGTGGGTGGCCAGAATTACTGCCCTGACCTCTGGGGAGAGTCGGATATGGAGCTGCATAGCCTCAGTGAGGAAGCTCAAAAACATGGCTGGATTTTCTTCTCAACCCAGGGTGACTTATCTCTTGGGCTTCTTGTTCCATTCCTGCCGTAAAGCATCGCAACATGTAGTCATGACACTGGCAGTTGGGGTCGCCTTCCTGCTATCTCTGTCTGGGATCAGCTTCAGGGATTACCTCAGCACCTACCGCTGTGGTGGCATCCTCCACGTGGGCCCTGTCAGCATACTCTCTTGCTGCCGCCTGTACCTGGTCATGCTCATCTGCCATCATGGCGGATGTCATAATTATATGGACATCATGCCAGGTGAGGTCATAGGCCTGTGTAAGATATCTGAATTCCTTGATAAAGTGGGTGGGGTTGGCAGAGAAGGAGCCCAAGTACTTTTCAATGGCGGACAGATCTGCGAGGGAAAAAGGAACATGGACTCGATTGACTCCCTCAGCCGTGGCCACCTCCCATAGGAGAGCCATTACCTGGGGTAGGGGTGAGTCATTCGAGCATGTCCGGCCTGTAATGCGGGAAGACAGAAGGACTGTTGGTGGAGGGAGGTGGGGAGGATTCTTGGGGTAGGGAGGTGGGAGACAGAGGGTTTGGGAAAGTTTAATGGAGAATCAGGAGGGGGTCTCAGTGGAGAGGAAAGAGATTGCGGGAGAACAGTGAGAGCAGAGGATTCTGGGGGTTCAGAAGTTTCCCTGGAAAGGCTAGGAGCAGGTTTTTGGCCCCCACTCACCTTAGCAAGCAAAATCTGGGAGGGAGAGCAGATAATACAGAGGTGGGGACCAGAGCGCAGTATCAAAAAGCCTGAACATGTGGGATTTCCATCCATTTGCTGGCAGTCTGACCAAAATCGGTGAGGTTGGTCAAAGTATTGAAATTGAAAGTGCCCTCGGGTGGCCAGATAGATTTGGGCCAAGCCGTGGTCGACAGGAAGACCAGGTGGCATTTCGATTGTTTTTTGGATCAGGTTTGGAGGCAGCAGACCCCGTGATGGATTAGACCTCAGGTAGAGAGAATGAGCTGAGAGGCATCCCCTTTGGGTATAATCTCTCCACAGATAGGAGGGTGAAGGAAAGTGTCGTCCAGGCGGCCCTGAGAAGAGATGATCCTTAGGGTACCCCTGGAGCACCCAGAATGGATGGGGAGTGTTCCTGGCGCTGCCGCGACTGCAGACGGGAAAGCTCTGGAGGTCTGAAAAATGGGGATGGGGTTGCTTACCTTCCCAGCTGGATGACTACGTGAGAGGTCAGATGGAGGGGCTCTAACCAAGAGGCATTCAGCCCCTCCCGGGTTTCAGCGGCAGATGTAGGTCAGACTTATGATCGTTGGAGGAGTCAGAGGCGGCAAGGATGGAAGAACCAGAGTCAGGTTTGGGATTTAGCAAAGCCAATAAAATATATTCTGCGAAAAGGCTCTTGAGTGAGGTCCCGTGGTCTGAACAGAGGTGGGAGAGTCACATCGGAAGGATTGCTGCTTATTCTCTGGGGCCCTTGTCCAGTGAGCAGTTGCCACAGCATTAATGGCATCCTGTCCTGATCAACAGGAAACGATATTTCTGTTCAACTGGTGGTAGGGTGCCAAACGGGAGGGCAGAAAGTCCCTTGGTGATAGCGAGCCAGATGTGGAAAGCAGGAAACTTCCTGCCAGCGGGAAAGTTTCCACCATGTTTCTTTTCACTTCCCCCAGACCCTACACACATCACTGTTGATTTATATGTGTGTGTCCATCTTAAAAAAAAAAAACTGAAAATATTGCAGACGTTATGTAAGTATTTTCTCCTTCAAGGGCACACAACACCTATTACTGGTGGATTCATTCAGCCCCAAGAAGATTAAAAATTGCCATGCTAATGAATATGTCTTAATACTTGACAGAAGATTAAAAGCCTTTCATTTATGAATTTAAAACTTGACAAAGCACCAGAAAGGAAAGTCCCATCCAGTTATCAAGGCTGTTTAGGGAGTTCTCACTCATTTCCTGCTGGAGAATTTTTCTTGGTGAGCTCAACTCCTAGCTTCCCAAGGAGCAGGAGCAGGAGCCACAGGAGGCCTTTGCCATTTGTCCACAGGAATGGGAATAAGAATAGAATTCCAGGCACTGTAGGGTGAGACACAGAGCAGGGTGTGAGGGGCTCTGGGGGCTGGGCCCTGGGGCTGCCATGCTCCCTGTAGTAGGCCAGCTCAGTGCAGGGCACTCTGCTCCATCTGGTGGTTCTGGGAAAACTGGGGCTTTGGCTGGCAATAATCCTATGTGATTTTCTTAGAAAAAAAGAGTTCCTAGAATCTAAGAATGTCACCAGAGAGTCTACCCCACCCCACACCTTATACCAGCCCCAGCAAGTGACTGTGCCTGTGCTTACATTCCACCGTGACAGAGACCTCACTGTGTCTAAAGTCTCTGTCCATTTTTGGACTGGCTCTGAACACAGAGAGCTCTCTCTTAACAGTTTGAGTGAAAATCTACCTCTCTGTATCTTCTTTTTCTGATACTAGTTTCCTCTGAAGATCATGTGTTACAAATATGATGCTCCATCCACTCAAATGCTCTTCAAGTGGGATTCAGCAATGCTTGGAAGAGCTGTTCTTTTCTCTTCCTAAAAATACCAATTTTGCCCTCCCAAGCCCTCTTCATAGTTTCCTGGAGCATGTGCCAACTTTTACTGCCTCTGGATTTTCCCACAAGCTATTGTCCCAAGGGCTCGGAAGATTGAATATCACATGTCTTGGAAATTGTGGGCAACAAAGCCCTCCAATTTCCTGGAACAGAAGTGTCCCTGGCACACTTAGCTTGATGGGCACCTATAGACTTCCTCAAGGTCTGAGGGGCAGATTTTTCATCCATGTGGTTACTGAGCACACAGGTGCGGCTGCTATTGGGTTGGCTCTGGAGAAGACTCACAGCCAGAATCTAGGGATTGGGAGCTGGTCCTCATGTTCTTCTTCTTCCCCTTCCTCTCGACTTCTTCTTTGTCAGAGTGCATGTGTGCTTGCTGGAGGGAAGAAGAGAGAGAGAGAAAGTACCCCCATGGGGAATGGTTATGGCGCAATCCCTTCTCCTCTATTTCCTCCTCCTTTGGGCAGGCACATACGTGTACCTAGCATGTTTTTCAAGTCTAGGTCCAGGACTTGAATTTCATGGTTGGTCATGTGGGATCCAGCTGCTTTAACCACTAGGCCATAAGCTGGCCCTGGAGTCCCATTCTTAATGCATTTCTTTAATTCTTACTATTATTTATTATTTATTAAGTTATTTGTTGGAAAACTATTCACATGTCTTACCTGGTATCTTTTTAGTTTGTGTCTTGTTAAAAGAACTCTACTCCCTGTATCTATAATCTTTGGATTTGGAACAGAGGAATCTCCTCTTTCATGTCAATAAAATATGACTCTTGCTCATTTTGAAAGTCAGGAGATGAACAATGAATTCTGCATTCTTGGTAGGGCTCTACCCTATGCCTGAAGCAATGGCTGTCTAGCTCTAAGTATGAGATGTTTGTGGGCAACAAGGATTATAAGAATTGATAAGATACTTTGAAAGTTTCCAGGCAAGAATGCATTGAAAACCCGACACTCTGACCACACAATAAGTTGAATAAAATGTGACAAAGGAAAGCTCCAGGGGACAGGAACAAAAAGGGGCTGGAGTTCTGGAGGTCCCAGGGGTTATTACAACCACGTATGTATATTAAAGGCCCATATTACACAAGGGGTCTTCATAAATTTATAGAAAATATGTATAAAAACTATATATAGATTTTAAAATGTGTTCACACCAAAACAAACTTGGGGTTTAATTCTATTACTCCATTAATTTTTTGAAGTCCCCTTGCATATCCCTACATGGGGATGATACCTAGGCTGTACTTGGGCTTGTAGAAATGTTGCACAAAACCAGATGAAAGGCTGGAGTAAACATAGGATGAGGTGGTTTCTGTCTTCTGCTTTAGAAATCCACTTGGGGAGGTGGCTTCTGGCCCCACAGCGTGTGTGGAATCTGTGATAAATGGAATCCAATACCTCATTATGCATGGATATGGTTGTGAACTCTCACTACTTGCTGGAGCTCTGAGCCCAAAAACTATCTTAAAAGTAGGTAAAATCTTCATGCCCTTGCAGAAGAAACATTAAGCTGACCAATGAAGAGAAATCCTTAGCTCAGAACACATGTCTGAACTTTTATAGAGAATAAGTATTGATGAAGATGTAATAATGTTTATTGCAGCACTATTCACAATTGCTAAGTCATGGAAACAACCCAAATGCCCACGAACAGATGAATGGATAGAAAAACTGTGGCACATATACTCAATGGAATACTATTCAGCCATAAAAAACAACAAAATCCTGGCTTTTGACAGGAAGTGGATGAATATGGAAGATTTACTGCTGAGTGAAGCAAGCCAGGCTATGAAGGAGAGGCATTGTATGTCCCCACTTAATCTATACTGAGTGTCCGCACTCTATGACTGAAACTAATAGACTAAAGGATATAGAAACACAGTGTATAATGTAAATACCAGATATAATGTGTGTGAAAGAGGAGGGTCTGAGGAAGGACATTTAGAAAAATAATAGGGAGGCAAAGCATTAATGGCACAAAGAAATGTGGTATTATCTGTTGAAGATATTTTGTAGTTTTATCAACTGTACTAGGGAGAAATGTTCACCTGTTGAAATATCCATTTTTTAAAGACAAATAATAATGTGATTTAATGTATAAAAGAAAATGAAATGAAAAAAAAGGGAAAAAAATCCAAAAAAAAGAATCCACATGTTAAGAATATATATCTCTGAGAGAGAGAATAAGCAAAGGCTAAAGCATGAGATCCACAGTTAATAGAGAAATCTACAAAGAAACTTTAGAGGACTGTCTTTAAACTGTTTAAGGAGCTAAGGGAAGAATCAAACCTACAGAAATAAAACATTTTAAAGAAAAAACTGATAGGAGGGAGCAGGAGAAGAGAGCGAGTCTGAACAAAGAAATGGACAAAAGCCATTTGTAAATATAAAAAAGTACTGATTTTATTTGAGTCTTTATTCAGGCATGGATGGAAATAACCAACTCTATAGAAATAATATTTAATATGGTTTATTACTAAGCACAAAACTGAGTGACTGACCTGGAGAAAGATAAGCATGTTTCTCTAGGTGTTGAGATAAGGATGGTTTCTTTTACCGTTTTAAGAGCAGGAAAGTTGACAATCAGCATAAGGAGTCCTTTCCATCAGCCTGGATCTAAAAGGTGGGACATCTGGAAGCAGAAGCTTGTA